GATTGCTCTGTACCCCAAGGCTTCCAGCTCCGTATGTGCCATTTCTTTCACTTCTGACTGGAGATGGAAGCGATATAAAAGAAAACAAGAGCATTGTAATCTCTCTTTCTTTAGTAAAATCTGGACATTTTGGTCCCTTGTTGAGGGCCCAGGCTGTATTATTTTTGAATTCAAAACATGTATCTGGTTTAAGTGGGAGTTTTCTCTGTTCAGGCTTCAGACTGAAGGCTTCAGTTAAAGATGGGTTGGGGAGAAAAATCATCTAAAAGGTGATGCTATTGGGACGTGGGCTACGACTGTACAGCAAATGCCCTTTATTTTGCAAAGTTTCACTCGGGGGGAGGGAGGCAAAGAAGGAGAAAGCATTAATTGAATAAGTCTGACGAGGAGCATAAGGGCAGGACATGTATTTGAGGCCTGCATAGGTACACTTCATCAGAAATAAAAAGTACAGAGCAAGACAAGCTGAGCAGTTGTTTAATTAAACATAAATGCAGAAGCAAAATATAAATTAATTGGTATTAATATAGGAGCATTCTCTCCGTTTTAATTGAGAGAGAGATTAGGGAGAGATTATCTCAGTTGTGGAGAGTGCACAAGCAGAGTGCTCTTTCGAGCGTGGTCACGCACCCACAGCACATTTCGGGATGATACATATTGAGAATAAGTCGACATATTCTGCTGGTTTGATTTTTGTTGTGGTTAATTAACTCAGTTATGATTAGGCAACGATAAGAAGTATTGTTAGGACACGGATGCTTGTTTAATATAGCTGGATGCTATGTCATTGTGTAAAATATGCCTTAATTCAGGATACGGACAGTTAGCTGCTTTTAGGGGAAAAAAAAAAAAAAAAAAGATACATTACTGTAGGACAAATCGGTTTTCAGCCCTCGTCCCGAGGATAAACCAACTAGCTAAATGTTTCCTGCTTTCTTAAAGAAGTTAGTTTGTGTAAGTTTTTGATTTAAAACCTTTCACTCTCTTAAAAGTTGCTGCAACTGCCTGCACTGCCATGCGATGCCCTATTTAGGTGCTAACAGGACAGAGAGGAGCTCGCAGATCTCCAGCTTCAGCGAAATTGTTAAAAAAAAGGGTCATT